GAGCGATCTTTTACATAACTGATGATCCCTAGAGGTAACCGACGCTTGCCTCTCTCTGTTGGTGTATGAGATGATTTTTTTTATTTTTTATGTTTTTTCATACCGTAAATGCGTCGTATTTCCCAACGATCGCGAAAAATACGGAAAAAATTAACGAGTTTAATATTTTTCAGATATGACATTCGAAGAAGTGTAGTTATAAATTTTTCACCGCAAATGTGAGTGTTGGGAAATAAAAACATGGTCAACTACACGTGTTGGTGACGAAATGAATTTGCGGCAATTCTTGTTGGTTCATTAACACTTCTACCCGAATTCATGTGTGAACTCCCGAGCTCAGCTGAGGAAAGTATATTTTCAAACAAGCTCGCTGGTTTTCAAAATGTCCGGTGCTTCAGCCGTTTTCATATTAGATTTGAAGGGAAAGGTTATCCTATGGAGGAACTATAGAGGAGAGGTAATACGGATGAGATGGTTGGTATTTTCTGATGAGAAAAAAGGAAAAATGTCATGTGAATGTTGGTCGGAATTTTCAAGCCTGCTATGTCGTAAATACTCCAATTTCGAGTAGTATGTTACTACATTAATGGTATGGGAGTAGTTATTTATATTATCAATATAACTATAAATTGATAATTCGAAAATACTAGGATGTTTGTTTTCTTTATATACTTCAAAAATAGTAGTCGTAATGGTAGCGTGCCTACGTTATGAAAAAGGTGAATCGAAAACCCTTAGTACTCGATGCTATAGTGAATCTGTTTTTATTTTATTCGCTATAGTTTCTAATTAGCTGTTATCATGGAACGCAGTATCTCTCTATGCGATATTTTTCCATTATTCCATTCTCCCATATTTCCGTAATTTTTCTATATTTCCGTAATTTCCGTAATTTTCCCGTAATTTTGTAATTTTCCCATATTTTCATTATTCCCATATTTTCATTATTCCCATATTTCCATAATTTTTCCATATTTCCTTTATTCCCATATTTCCGTAATTTTCCCGTAATTTTCCCGTAATTTTGTAATTTTCCCATATTTTCATTATTCCCATATTTCCGTAATTTTTCCATATTTCCATAATTTTTCCATATTTCCTTTATTCCCATATTTCCGTAATTTTCCCGTAATTTTCCCGTAATTTTGTAATTTTCCCATATTTTCATTATTCCCATATTTCCGTAATTTTTCCATATTTCCATAATTTTTTCATATTTCCTTTATTCCCATATTTCCGTAATTTTCCCGTAATTTTGTAATTTTCCCATATTTTCATTATTCCCATATTTCCGTATTTTTTCCATATTGAAATCAATTACAACATATCATTAGTGCATCTTCAAACTCACATCGTCACCGTATTTTCAGCATCGCCTGTTTTGGAGTGGTCTTATGAGGAAAAAGTTGTAAAAAATCTGTTTTCATGCTGGGCTGAGCTCGGGCGAATTTGCGAATTTATTTATTTTTTTCAGGTGCCTCCAACAGTAACTGATCATTTTGTTGACAATGTCGTGGATGCTGAAGATGTTAATATAAAGGTAGGAAATGCCCCTAGTAAGGATCGAACCTGTGCTGTGTCATGTGGGGGTAGTGAGTGGTTGACCGCTCTACCGTTGCGCCAGTTTAGTGTTGGAAAATATGCATATAGTCAACTACATGTGTTGGTGACAGTATGAAAATTCTGAAAAAATTTTGGGAAATCGTCGTTGGTTTCTGTACTCAAATTCGCATATAAACTTCCATAATTAGCGAAGAAACTCCACAACTCGGCTAAGGAAAGCGAATATTTATTTATTTCATGTCGTTCGTTTTCAGTGTTCGTATACTTTGATTTTCATATGTTACTCGTAACTTTTGGCGCGCCACAGAATTGTTTTATCATTTCAGCCGGTGTTTGTCGAGGATGGTATTGTTTATTGCTGGATACAGTATAACAATCTGTACTTATTGGCGGTGACACAGAGAAATGGAAATGCGATGATGATATTATCGTATCTTTACAAGTTAGCTGATGTAGTAGTGTTTATTGGAATATGCGTGACGGAAAAAAAATATAAAATATTTTTTCGGGAAATTTTTTAGTGATTTTTGGCAAAAAAATCCAGAAATTTCCTCGGAATTTTTCACCATGAGTGATATATGTAATTGACAATGTGCATATTTTCCTTATATGGAAATAAGTTCATCAAATTTCTGTTGAAAATTTTCATGTGGAAATTTTCCCTTTTCGATGAGCCAAATTGAAAAGTTTTTGGTATGTTTTTTTGAATTTTGTGATTTCCCGAGGGGAATGCAAAAAACTCCGATTCTCACTATTTGCGGTTGCCTGCTAAGATTTATGCGTAAAAAATTGCAAAATTAAAATTGCATAAAAATCAACGCGACATGGAGTATGTGCGTGCGTGCAAACTAGGAGCAACCTCACTTTCTCAGATTTGTTTGTTTGATTTCAGTGTTGAAAGACTATTTCAAA